CATGAAGGATCCCTGAAGGATTCAAGAGAATCCTTGTTGGATTCCTGGGTAGTTCCAACGCTACCACTACTACTACTACTACTACTACTACTACTACTACTACTACTACTACTACTACTACTACTACTACTACTACTACTACTACTACTACTACTACTACTACTACTACTACTACTACTACTACTACTACTACTACTACTACTACTACTACTACTACTACTACTACTACTACTACTACTACTACTACTACTACTACTACTACCTACTACTACTACTACTACTACTACTACTACTACTACTACTACTACTACTACTACTACTACTACTACTACTACGACTACTACTACTACTACTACTACTACTACTACTACTACTACTACTACTACTACTACTACTACTACGACTACTACTACTACTACTACTACTACTACTACTACTACTACTACTACGACTACTACTACTACTACTACTACTACTATTACTACTACTACTACTACTACTACTACTACTACTACTACTACTGTGACTGCTACTACTACTGCTGCTCCTACTACTACTACTACTACTACTACTACTATTACTACCCCTTACACACACTACTACGATTCCTACTACTACTAGTCTAACTGCTCCTACTACTACATCTACTACTACTACTACTACTACTACTACTACTACTACTACAACTACTACTACTACTACTACTACTACTACTACTGCTACTACTGCTACTACTACTACTACTACTACTACTACTACTACTGCTACTAATAATAATACTACGAATCCGGCCACGGTTACGACTACGACTACCTAGAGAGACGACGGCTACTACTACTACTACTACTACTACTACTACTGCTACTCGTACTGCGAACACGACTATTACTACTACTACTACTACCACTTCTTCACAATTCATAACCCTGCCAACAGCTATACTGATAGAAGTGTGTTGTTTTCCAGCTGGGGCTGTCCTCTCAACGCCGCGGACGTTCGTCTTACATGCTTGCAGCAACTACAAGGATGTCATATAGTGGCGATGTCACAATTGTGTTCTCGCCATAGCGCCGCGCACGCACGTCTTGCAAGTTCGCAGCAACTACAAGGATGGACAGGGGGTCAATTGCCAAATGGGATTCTCGCCGTGGCGCCGTTTGCAATCGCCTCAAACGCTGTCGGCTGTTACAGGGATCGGGGGCGCTTTTCAAAATGGGAATCTCGCCATAGCGCCGCGAACACCAGCCTTGAAAGTGTTACTGCAGTTGCAAGGACTGGGGGCAGTTCCTTTTGAATGGGGCTCTGGTTTGTTTGAGGCGGCCTGAAGTCTAAAGGTCCGGCCCTTGAACGGGTGGAGGGCGATTCCTTTTCAAAATGAGGCTATCGCCTGGGACTTCCCCGAAGTTCATGATTAAACGAACACGCTTGTGCAACAATTACGCACGTGGTAGCGGTCCTGGTTCAATCACGAAGATCTCGCTGGACACCTCGATGAAGTGAGTGCTCGTACCTCTTCGCGTTTCGTGGTGCGCGCTAGAAGGATGCGGTGCAGTTCTTTGTCATGGAAGGGGCTCCCGCCTGAATGGCAGGCCCACGCGAGGTTAATATGTTTTTAAGGGCGCTTTATAATTTGAAGTCAGGCTTGTAGAGCTTGTGAAGATGGGACTTGGGACGGGGTGTGTTGCAACATCGGCGAGGCATATCACGGGGCTACATTGGTCCCTTCACCATCCTCCTCCCTCGCTCATCACCGCCACCGCCTCTTCCTCCACTTCCTGCTCTTTCTTCTAATCATGCTCCTCCTCCTCCTCTTCCACCTCCTCCTCTTCCTCCTCCTCTCTTGTCGACCTCCTCTTCTTCTTCTTCCTCCTCCTCCTCCTCCTCATCATCATCATCCTCCTCCTTCCCCCTATACGTCTCCTCCGCCTCCTCCTCCTCCTCCTCGTCCTCCTTCTCCTCCTCCTCCCTCTCCTTCTCCTCTGCGCGCGGCGAAGCCTTCATCCACTGGCCGTTCGGCAACATTGTGCCGTTCAGCATCTCGCAGGCCTCATGGGGAGGGGAACAGAGATCCCCTCCGCCCTCCGCCCCTCCTCACTATCCTGCTACAAATTCGTCCTCCTCCTACGTGTTCCTTTCCTCTGCCCACTCCCCTTCCCCGACCCCATCCGCCTCGGTGTCGTCGTTCCCTTTCCACCAATCCGAACTATTACTGCAACGGCGCCTCCACCCGTTCCCCTTCCCCTACTCCCCCTCCTCCTCTTCCTCGTCCTGGTGTTCCTGCTTGCGCATTTCTTGGGTGTATACTACAAAAAACCATATATATATATATATACATATATACATATATGTATATATATATATATATATATGTATAACAACTTGTGTGGATGTGTAGATATTACTCAAATGCCGCATCCTGCCCCCAAGCTGTTCCTGCTCCCCATGTTCCATCCGTCTTTGCCCTTTGCTATTCAATGGTCCCACGTTCCTCGGTTTCGCCCGGGTAGCTACCTACAGCGGGTGCCCCTCACAATGCATGCGGGCACGCTGCGGATTGGACATTCCCTTCCAGCTGATAGCCATGTTTTGAAACGATGCTTCCGCGTGTGTGAGCGGAAATGGGCGCGGCGCACATCGCACGCGCGCTCTGGAGGACGAAGCGATGCTCCCACCGGACCGCCGCCAATGTGTTCATGTGCGGTCGATCTGGTGCCGCCCATGTTTTCATGTGCCGCCCCCCGACCGGACCCTGGCCTCGCATCCCCAAGGCTTTACTAAAGCAGACCGCGAGCTTTACTAAAGCGAAGAAGCGGCTCTACCAAATCGAGGAAGCGGCTTTACTAAAGCGAAGAAGCGGCGTCACTAAAGCGAGGAAGCGGCTTTTGTAACGGCGCACCGCTCAATCCATTCCGAGAAAAAAAAAAACGACGTTTTACGAACGAGGAAAGCGAGCTTGGGTAAAGCGGACAGACGGCTGGGGTAAGACTGCGCACCGGAATTTCGCCCCTCCCATAAAATCTGGCGCGGGACTCCAGGAACGAGGGCGGGGCGCAAGTTCGCCCGTGGGTCCGTGCCCCGTCGCCGCCGTCGCCGCGATGTTCGTCGTCGCCGCCGTCGCCGCTGCCGCCGTCGCCTTCGACGTCGGCGCAGACGCCGCCGCCGTCGTCGCCGTCGCCGTCGTCGCCGCCGCGGCGCCCACGCATTCACGCTATTACCAGCGGCGGGTCGCGCGCGACCGCGCGCGCCATTGCGCTCGCACGTCCGCTCCTCGGACGGGGGCACAGTCGGACATCGTGTTTTTCTTCCACCCATATTTTTTGTAATCGTGGGGCAATTACGCCTCTGATCTTGAGGCCTCAAGACGGGTTCAAGATGGTCCGAGAGGGGCCCTAGAGGGGCACAAGACGGTCACAAGAGGGCATTAGAGCGCCCCAGGAACGCCCCCAAGAGGCGACGTTGAGAGCCCGACTAGGGGGACTGACGTTGCGGCCCCCTGTTCTGTCGTCGATGGCATACAAGATGGCCACAAGAGGGCCCTCCCAAACTTGCCCGAAAATGGCGGCGAAAGGCCCTCCGGATTCTCAAATTGCACAGAACTGAACAGCTGTTGGCCGTCCTGCTGCACTATCTGCCCACGTACGCCTCTCCTCTAGACAATCCCTTTGGGCAGCGTCTCCGGATGGGCTGGTGAAAATGCTTTTGGTTAGCGGGCGCGAGAAACGGGTTGAAGGCAAAACTTTAGGAGACTTAAGCAATTCGGGCCAGACATCTTGTCCGCTTTTCTGGCGTCTGCAGGCCGCTCCAGTGAAGGGGCCGTCAAAAACGGCTCAGGATGAAAACCCCACCTGGGGGGAGGGGTCGAGAGGTCTGGGGGCTGGAGACTCGACAAACATTAAATCGTCGGAGGTCTGCGGGGCAGACTCATGGATTGCGTGCCGCGGAAGCGGGCCGCGGCTATCTCTGAGAGGTGAGCACGATGCGTCCGGCAACAAACGCAACAAATGAAGTTGTGATCGACGAGGTGGTGACGGCGTGGATGGTCTGAATATCCTCAAACAAAAAACCTGGCTGAAGCCTGACGTGGAAGCATGGATTGCGGCGCGCGCAAATGGCTCTCAGCATAGAGTATATTGACTGGGCGACGCTCCATTCATCGTCGAGATATGAGTCCCGAAGAGCGTGGAGAGGAGATTACCGAACTGACCATGCCGCCTGCCGGGCAGTGGCAAACACTCCGAGGGCTCCCCCTCGGCGTCCTCTTGCGCTGGCGCCCTGAAGGACGACCCCGGACTCCTCGAGGGGTCCGCTCTGGGCAGAAGTCTGGGGCCGAGCCAGGCGGGAGAAAAAGGAGGAGGGAGAGGGAGAGGGGGAGGATGAGGAGGAGGAGGAGGAGGAGGAGGAGGAGGAGGAGGAGGAGGAGGAGGAGGAGGAGGAGGAGGAGGAGGAGGAGGAGGAGGAGGAGGAGGAGGAGGAGGAGTGGGAGGAGGAGGGGGAGGAGGAGGAGTGGGAGGAGGAGGAGGAGGAGGAGGAGGAGGAGGAGGAGGAGGAGGAGACCTCAGTCCTCGATCCTCGAAGCGGCAACAACTGGCACAGCCCGGGGCGCGGACGCCGCCCTCGCGCCTCCCTCGAGAGCCACCCCGCGCTCGCACCCCCGCCCCCGCCGACGTGTTGTGACATGTTCACGACGTGGACTCCCTGGAGGTCCTGTCGACCCCTTCCCCGGGACGGGCCGTTCCCTTTTCGAGCTGTTCTCACGACGTGGACCCCTGGAGGTCCTGTCGACCCCTTCCCCGGGGCGGGCTCTTTCCCTTTTCGAGCTGTTCTCTGGCGGCTCCTGAGCCCCGAGCACGGAGATGATCTCCAGAGCCCGCGGTTTGCAACAACACGAACTCAGCCGTGCCTGTTGTCAGGACGCCAGGAGGTCTGGGGCCCGCCCGCCCCACCGATGCCCCCGCTCGACTCGGCCTTCTGGGCGTCCTCGAGGTTGATGAAGTTCACGAATCCGATCCCCGTGCACTGACCTGCGTCTCGGGCGGGGGGCGGAGCGAGTCGCTTGCCCCCTCCCCCCCTCGCCCCCCGCGGGGAAGACGATCGAGGTTCGAAGATCGGGGGCCGAGGCTTCGCCACATGTTCCGCCGGAGGCGGAGGAGGAGGAGGAGGAGGAGGAGGAGGAGGAGGAGGAGGAGGATGTTTGGCCCTCTTGGGGGCTGCCCCGTGTCGCCGCGGCTGTGCCCCCCCTTTGCTGACCCCCCCCGCTCTGCCCTCGCCGCGGCACGCTCTCCCCCATCCTCCTCGCGTCTCTGCGCGTCGCAGGCCCACGGCGACTGTCGACTCGCAGCCTCTCCTACTCCCTCCTCCAACTCCTCCTCCTCCTCCTCCTCCTCCTCCTCTTCCTCCTCCCCGCCCCCTTCCTCTCTCGGTCGCCCCCGATCGGGTCCGACGGAGCTGGGGGCCGTAAAGAGGGACAACCAGCATTCGACCATGACATCAGGAGTCTCTTCCCAACTTGGCGGCGCGCCCGGGGGGGAAAGCGAGAAGGGGCGGGCCTTCTCAGGAGACTTGGAAGTTGCCTGGCCTTCTGAAAAGTTCCCTGAACCTTCCCCGAAGACGCAAACAACTTCTCAGAAGGCACGAGGGTTTCTGAGAAGTCCCGCCGCCTTCTGAGAAGGCCTTCTCCTTCTCACTTCCCCCCGCTCGCCGCCGACCCACGGGGCTCGAACCAAGCAGTGCTTGTCGTTTTCGTTGTGTTTTGGTTTTCCGTCGTTCTGCCTTCGTTCTGCCTCTGCTGGGAAGCGAAATCAACACGAAAACGGTCCACGAAATCGCCCAAACACTGTTTGGCTCGAGCCGCCCACCGCGCTCCGGCCCTGTCCGCCTGGCTGCTGCCGCCCGCCGGCTGCCCATCGTCGAACTCTTTTGCGTCTGAGCGCCCCTCCCTCCCCTCGTCGGCCTCCCCTCTCGCTCTTTGCACGCCGGCCAATTCGCTAGTTAGTGCCCCTACCTAGCTGTTACGCTGGTGCGGATTTCGCCGCCTCACCGCTCACGAACACAGACGAGCGCGTTCCACTACTTGCAAAGTAACTGCTCGCAATACGATACATGACATCGAAGCAATGCTTTTCGGGCGTTTTCGAGTAGGCACTTTGCGAGGAATGGAACGCGCCTGGTTAGAACATTTGTTTAGCTCGAGCCCTGCCGGCCGACACCGGGCACCACCGAGAACAGGAGGCGGGGGCGACAGGGCCCAGAAGCCAAGTGCGCACCCAGGGGTCTCCAAGAGCCCTCGTGCCCTCAGGGAGCGCTACAAAGTCCTCTCCAGTAGCTTTGTGGATGCCATGACAATGGACACCCCAACAGTCCTAGCATTGAATCTTCTATGCGATTTACACGTCGGTTACATGTTCTAAACATGTTTGAAAACATGTTTTCACATTGTAAATCATGATTAACACATGTTGTAGACATATGGGAATTATTTGGCAACGTGCTTCCTCTAAAGTGATCGCCCTCCACAACCGTAGCTTGCTCAAGTCCAGGGATCGACCTGAACAGTGCGTTCCGTTGTCATGCTGGTTTTGTGCTTCCCTCCTACTGTCCTCGTTCCGCCTTGGTTGCAGAACGAGATCAAAACAAACACGGCCCACGAGATCGCTAAAACACCGTTTAGGTCGAGCCTTGCTCAAGAGCTCCATTTTGCCACTCATCGCTGGGAGTGCCAGCCAGTGCGTCATACAAGAAGGCAGGCACACCCGAGCACAAGCTACCCAGACAGTCCCCAGTAAGCACATAACCATGGTCCCTAGGGCACTTCCATCTTCCCACGCGAGAGCCCCGTCCTCCTCCTGCTCCTGCTCCTGCTCCTGCTCCTCCTCCTCCCACCCGTGCCGAAGGAGGGCCGCTGCCCTGGTGGGCAAACTGCAGTGAAACCGCGGGTTGCCTGTAAGGGAACCCCCGATGATTACCACCGCAGCGCCCCTCAGGGACATGCCCTCCCGGGCGACACGAGCACAATTCGGTCTTGAATTCGACCAATCCTTGCGTGCTGCTGCCTGGACTTGGCCTGCAATCACTTGGGGCGTTTGGGGAATCACCTGCCAGTCTGACCTTTGCTCAGTGAGGTGCTGACTTACTGCTTCAAGGAACTATGCATTCACATGTGGATACATCACGTCTATGTCGCCCAATCAGGAATGGGGGACACCTGCACCACAATTCTTTTTGGGGTGCCATGGGCAATGGACCACTGCGTAGCAAATTCGCAGTAGCCCGTGACCCGCTAATTCGACTGGATCAGCACGCCAGTCAGACTAGGACAGGGCGGCCCTGCACCTACTGCCTTGTAGGCCAGAAGCGTCAGAGACTACGGACCGCTGCAAGGCAGGTTCGCGGTAGTCCCTTGCCCGCTGATTCGACTGGATCCGCGCGTCACCATGAGCATGCTGGGGCCTTGCACCCCCATGCAACGCCGTACGTATGCTGGGGCCTCGGTCCCTCATGCGTCACCATCAGCGTGCTCGGCCTCCAGCCGCAGAACCCCATGCGCTACCATACTCATGCTAGGGTGTTGACCCTTCATGTGCTGTCCCGCGCGCTAGGGTGTTCACCAATGTGCAACATGAGGTTTTCTACGCATGCGTAACCCAATCAGGAATGGGGGACACCTACTCTTGAGATATGTTGTAGGGCCGGGGGCTGCGGACCACTGCATAGCAAGTTCGCAGTAGCCCCTGACACGCTGAATCGACTGGACCAGCGCACCAACCCGAAGACGACAAGGCGGCCCTCCACCCACTGCCGTGTAGGGTCAGGGCCTACGGATCACTGCAAAGCAGGTTCGCGGCAGCCCCTGGCCCGCTGATTCGCCTGGATCAGCGCGCCAGCCAGACTAGGACAGAACGGCCCTCCAGCTACTGCCTTGTAGGGTCAGCGACTGCGGACCACTGCAAAGAAGCAATTTCGCGGTAGCCCCTCACCCGCTGGTTCGAATGGATCAGCGCGCCACCGTAAGCATGCTGGGGCCTTGCCCTCCCCTTTGCAACGCCATACGTATGCTAGGGCCTTGGCCCTTCATGCCTCAGCATACGCAGACTGACATTCGGGCTCTGGCCCCTCTTGTGCTGCCATACTCATGCTAGGGTGCTGACCATTCATGTGATTTCCCGCCCTCTTTCCGCATGAAGACGTCCAACAATTTACCAAGGTTTCCGAATTGAACCGTTGCGTGTCCCGCGCAAACATGAGGAACTCATGCTCCCAAACCTTTGTTCCCTGTCACGGCATACATGTTTCAGCCACGAACGCTGAGTGCTAGGGGCTCAGGCGGTTCACATGCAGCTCTTAGCTGGTCGATTCGCATGGATCGACCAGAACCCCGTAAAAGCGCCACCGCAACTGCCACACCTCGCCTCCAACGTCGGTGACGACCTGGGTTGCCGTGCAACTCGTCGCTCACCCCGACGGTGGCGGCTCGTCCGATTGCGGAGCTGCCCACTGTCATCTCTCTAGAAGGTTGCGCTCGATGCTGCGTTGGAGCAAATCCCGCATGCAACCCCTAGAGTGACATCCGTCCTGCTGTCCAAGTCACCCCCGAGGTGGCCATTCGTGCATCTGCGGAGCTGCCCCCCCTGTCACCTCTCTGGAAGGCGCCGCTCGGTGCTGCAGTGGAGCAGGTCCCCCTTGGCATTTTACCCCGGAGGTCGGGGCGAACTTGGTGGCCGTACAGCGTGCCCCCTCGGTCACCTCTAAGGTGGCGATGGGTCCAGCTGCGGAGTAGGTCCCCCTGCCACCTCTCTGAAAGGTGGCGCTAAGGGGCTGCAGGTCTCCTTGCCACCTCTAAGGTGTTCACCCCTCCTCTACTCCGAGCTCTACTCCCATTCAACACTGAATGGACCACCGCCCAAACAACTTCCCCTTCGGGGTGCCACCCCCTAGGTGCCCATATCCGTTTGGATCGCTAGACAGGGTAATGGGGCGAGGAGGGAAGTTAACGGCATCCATTCAATGGACCAATCGTACGGCCCTTGAGCTGGTGTGTGCCTGGGCAGGTCCGAGTGTTCGCTATCCTCCCCATCTCCCACCAGCCCTTTGGGCTTAGGTGGTCTAGCGATGTCTTTCCCTCCTCTTCCAAACACCCTCTTCCATTCCTCCTCCCTCCTCCTCGTCCTCCTCCTCCTCCTCCTCCTCCTCCTCCTCCTCCTCCCCCTCATCCCTCTCCTCCTCCTCTTCCTCCTCCTCCACCTCCTCCTCCTCCTCCTCCTCGAGGCGGCGGTAGTCAAGCAGTGGAGAAGCGTCCTGGTTGTGCCCATCCCCCCCCTCTTCTCCTTGCGGTTTCCTGGTGGGTTCCGCGACGTGTCGGGGCGCCCAGGGTGGCCCACGATGGTCCCAAGAGAGCTTGCGATGCTCCTGGGCGGCTCACGTAGCCGACGATGGCTCAAGGCAGCTTGCGGCATACCTCCAAGGGGTCGGTGGCGAGCGAGGGGGGGGGGAAATGAGAAGGAGAAGGCCTGGCCTTCTCAGAAGGCGGCTGGCCTCCTCGGAAGCCCTCGCGCCTTCCGAGAAATGTGTTATGTCTTCGAAGAAGGCTCCGAGCACTTCTGAGAAGGCCGGGGGGCTTCTGAGCCTTCTGCGAAGGCCTTTTCCTTCTCACTCCCCCCCCCCCTCGCTCGCCGCCGACAAGAGGCCCGAAGAGGGCCAGACGATGGTTCTAAGTGCTCCTGGAGCTCCCCCAGGACCCCCCCCAGGGGCCAACATCCTTCAGCATAGTGAGCGTTTTCCTATTCGGCGTTTCGACATTGGGCGGAAGGGGGGGAGGGGGCGGTTTGGCTCCAGACCTCTGGTCAGTGCGACTGTTTGCGGCAGTGCGTCCTATGGGGGGGTCCCCACCTGCTCGAAACAAACGCCAAAACCAGAAACGATCTACTCCATGGGGTGGGGCGGAGGGGGGGGGGCGAGGGCTCGCGCCGATCGGCAAAACAATGAATAAACAACAATCACATACCGACGGACAACCACTGATGCTTGA